GGGATTTACAAGTAGGTTTTCCAAAGGTGTTTTCCAAAAGCAATGGTGCTTTTCCAAGGTGCTTGAATTTTTAATTTATTTATTTATTTAGTTTCTAATGCAAAAGGTGAAAAATATTTATTGTAATGCTGATGGTACAAACATCAGACAGAAGTAGATTTAATGTGTAACAATAAATTTTGGCAGTATAATAAAGAAACAAGCATTTATTCTAACAAGTAACAACTAATAGCAAGCGGTAGGGGGTCAACTATTCAGTTGAAATTTGGAAAATGTAGGTCCTTTCCTTTTAGGTCAGTTAAATTCAATTAGCTGTCCATTTATTTAATCTAAAATTAAATTAACTGAGAAGTGAATAAAACCTGAATAAGTTTGAATTTAATAAAGTTAATTTAATTTTCTCTGGTTAAAATTTGAACTAAGTGATTGCAAAGTTCACTTTGATTTAGTACCACTGAACTGTATTTATTGAATGTCAGTTAATTGTGTTCTGAATTCAACTTATTTGAGTTTTTGTGCCATTTTGCACATTTTCCTTTCAAAATATCTATTTTAAACTTTACATATAATTTTTTTTAAACTGATTTTTTTTTTCTGCATTAAAAGTTGTGCTCAGAGCCTCCAATTAAAGATGAGGTACGGATAAAAACTTGCAGTCAGAGCTCCTCTAATATTACATATACGTGTGCTATGAGGGACTATAGCTCAATCTTCCATTCTAGTTTTATTACCGTTGTGATTAGGATGCTGATTATAAAGATGATGCTCTGCATTGCTGGAAACACAAGAGCCAGGATGAGTGGGATTGGACGGGTTCACATATGTGTATTAGAGAGAGAAAGGTGATGCGTGCTACAAGGAAAGATTGGATGTGATCCATTAACTTTACAGTCCATTCATTGAGCACCAGAGCATCAGGGGTCAGCAGGGAGGATTCACTGTAAATCTCTTCAACATCACGGTGATGAACCAGAGTGGGGGGACAGAGAGTGTTTGCAGTGAGGAGAAGCACAGCTTGCGGTATCGTTCCCAAGTCCTTCCAAAGCCATTTTAAGTTTCACTACTGATATCATCTGCTGCAAACTAGACAGCTGGACTTTAATGCCTTCTGATATTCATGTTTACAAAAAGGGGCTTTGACAGACTAATCATATCCTGGCAACATTATGAACGTGTTACTTGTTTGTTTTTCAGCCTGACCTTGTTGTGCTCCTGCCAAAAGAAATGACTTTAGACGTGGCCTTTCTGGCTGCGCTGGCTTATGGCCCAGAAAGCAAAGCATGACCTAACATGAGCGCTGAGGAGGTTCGTACGAGGACATTCAGCACCGTAAGGGGAAAAGAACCCAAAAACAGCAGGCATGTTAAGCCTGTGGAGAGAAAGAGGGAGAGACAACGAGAATACAACACATAGGGTCCTAACAAACTGAACAACTGATTATTAGCGTAAGAATTATAATTTAATGAGGAAATAAAACACAATTTATGCATTTATGTGTTTGCAAAGGTCAATTGGATTGGACTAGTTTTTTAGTGGCATAGAATTTTTTCCTTAAAAATCTTGCTTGACATACAGTGGGTTATGACACCCATGCTCCTGCAGTGCACCACATATTTACCCAAAGCTCCACCTTGGAGCTTCAGTCTCCAAGCCAAGTTCCCGCCCCACAGCTTCCCCCTCCCCACCAGATTAGCAACAACTGCAATTAGGAAATGCCTGGTAGAAATGCACGTCCACTGAGCTTATCATACAAACAACAATATTCCTATGAAGGTTGTAAACGGCGTCACAAGACAGGCTGGAAAAACATTGTTGTGATGATGTTCCGAGGCCAGAGTGTTGGAAACGGTAGGAGGCTCTTAAAGAGACAGAGGCCAATTTCTTGGTGTCAGATATGGTAGTGATGCAAAGTCAGATTTCTTTTAAGCTGTTTTCATATATACAGCATTTTCACAACAACTAAGAGCAACACGGTTACTTTATTGTGCTGTAAAATGGCACCAAATGACAGGGAACTACATATTACCCTCCCTTTGAGGCTATTCCTGCAGCACTTGCCATAAATCCCTTGTGTACAAGCAGAGCGAGCCGGAAGCTAGCCTGCAATGAGCCCACATGTGTGTTTTGTTTTTTTTGCTGCCTACCATTTGTGGTGGAGGAGAACAGTGTGCCCTGAGTACCAGAGTTGGCACAGCAATACATATCATGTGGGAAAATTCAAAGACTTCTTATGGCGTTTAGTCAATGACGGCTTTCTTCTTGACCCTTTTGAATAAAGACAAGATTTGGGAAGTGCATTACTAACAGTTGTCCTATCAAGGAATCTTCCCACCAGAGCTGTGGATCTCCATTACTTGATTCTGTTGAACGGTATTCAAGTATAGAGAACAAGTGCAAAGAGACCTTTTCTTTTTAACATTTTCAAAAAGTATTTGTCATTTTTGTTTTACTCCACGATTAAGCTCTACTTCCTGCAAGGTTTTCAAATAAAATCTCCAAAACCAGATTTAAGTTTATTTTTGTAAATGTGACAAAATGTGAATGGAGGATTTATACTTTTGGAAGACAAAAGTGGAACCATGGGAGAAACTGATACACCGTATATCTAGGAATGCAATAAACAGATTTAAAATTTAGAAGAAACAGCTGAGATGGGATTCTGTCTTACAGCAAAAATAAGTCCTACCTCCTAAAAGGTGTTACTGAAACATGATAATGAATGGTAATCAATTCTTGTGTTGGTGTACAGGTCAAAGATACATAGAAAGCAGGACTTTACTGTAAGCCTCATTTCATGCACCAGAATGCATTAGCATCTACTTTGTAGCTTTCATGCATCTTGCTTATACAACCAGACACAGAGCCGTGTGAAGCCAATCAGGGTAATGGCTTGTGCCTGGGAAAACTGGACAGTCCAATCATCACCCTGGCCTGAGAAGGTCTGTTTCCATACTTAACATTTGATATTTGATTGCTGCTTCCTCTCACTTTTGTTTTGATAATCATAAGAAATCCCACGCTGTTTCAGGCCAGATTGTTTAGAGTACTGCCATGCAGCTGTTGTGCTTGCTGAAATGTATCTTTTTTGTTCAGGCCTGAAAGTGCTTTTTTCTGGTTGATCTTGTGATTGGCTTCATAAGGCAAGGAACTTTAGGTCATGACTGTATGTTTACGCTATGTGGGGGGGGGAGAAAAAGTCATTGTACCATAAACCAGACCAGCCTGATTTATTTCAAGCAACACAGTCCTTGTTGTGCTTTTTTTCTTCTTTATTGATAGAATGAGTCTTTTTGTGGTTTTTGTTAGTTTTGTGAGGTGTATTTAAAATGGAGACTGGTGAACCTTTTGTGTAAGGAAAATAATGATGTATTTCACTACTGTTAAAAACAAAGCAAACAAAAAAAAGTTATCGTTCACTAAAGAGCCAATATCAGAGCCGACTACTGAAACAAACAGAACCTTTGTAGCTATGTTTATATCAAACAGAAAAGCGCAGTTATGTAGTTATATGGATGACAACATTGCATGCGACAACAAAACACATCTACAAAAATAAATGGATTTGTTTTTTTGTCAATAACATCTTTAAAATGGGACAATACTGGTGGGAAATGTGGTCTTGCATTGGTACCACACAGAAAAGAATGAAGTGAGCACTCTTAATTTTCATTAAAGAGTTTGTTGGAAACACTTTTGGCCCTAAGAAAAGGAAATGATTGGACACTTGGGGTCAAGGAAATGATAAATCTACAACTTAGAGACAAGGACAGAACTTAGTTCATTCCAAAGATTCGACACCATCACCAGCAGCCAGAACATCTGTTTACAGTTAACAAGCAAAATGTTTCAGATTAGTTATGACTGCATATCAGTACATCAGATGATTTCTAATGAGTCGTGGGTTTGAACTAAAACAATTATTGTTCCTTCTTGGAGTGTTGGCACACACACGAGCGCATTTGTGTCAGAAGCAGACAAAAGTTTCCACAGAGTGTTTTCAAATCCCTGGCTACGGTGCCGTTTATAAGATCTACAAGCTACTACTCCCAAATTGTTTTCCTAAATCATCAGAAATGTTTTCTCTCTGTGAAGACAGAATGCAGATGAAGATTAGCTATCACTACCTTATCTCCATGTGGACTTTGTATTATGAATTGATGCCCAAGTTGAGTGTTCATTCACAGTGTCATTACTCCTTTACAACTCCTGGGAGCTTGCTTGGCCTCCTTGTGTTTGCTTTGTGTCACGTTTTTCCACATTTTTTGCCTTTGGACTTCAATCCCAGCCATTACTGAAGAGAAGAAATATTCATAATGAAGCCTTATGACTTTGTCAACATGTGTTTTAACTTCCACCAAATGCACTAATATGTTTTGTGTTTTTTTTCCACACATGAGGTTGCACAAATGTTTACTGGCCACTGAGTAAGGCAACAGAGCACAAGGCGTAATTACAGTTTAGGACAGATCCGCGAGATCTGTGGTTCACCTTGGCTTTGAACACCAGAGCTATTCTCATCCTCTGGGAGCAAAAGAAGGGTTTACGGGCAAAGGCCAACTTGAGTTACAGCACCAAGAACATTAATTACTCATAGAGGGCAACATAAGAGTGCAGATTAGATTGTAATTGGTGGGTTTTCCTGCAAACTCCATGATTCAGTGAGCACCTCTGCTGACCAATGCATCAGTGGCTGATTATAGGACTGGGTTCTTTCGCTCCAAGTGGGCCACAAATAGCCTCTTGCTAATAAAAAAAGAAAAAAGAAAAAAGTGTGCTATTTGTTTTGCCCTCTTGCCAAAGTAATTATGAGCTTGGGGCAGGCCATGTGGATTTCATGTCGAACTGAAACTACACAGAGAGGAAGGGCAGCTGCAAGTGCCCCAGCACGCTGTGTTTGCATACTGTGACCTGGAATTTGCTTTGATTGTATGTTTTTGAAGAGCTCAGTGTCACTGATCCACAGCCAGGGATGACATGCAAACCCATTTTTGTCTGAACAACAGAGCTGCACCTACTTTTCAAATGTGAACATGTTCAGAGCTTTGATTCATTCATACTTGACTTTTTGACAGCTGAAAAAAAGAAAAACCGTTGCATTTTTAAAATGTGCAAATATCTAAAAATCCCACCTTGCACTGATTTTCACCATCTATATATGATCTATTTACAGCAGAGATTTTGTAAAATCGGAAAGAACCAAAACATCTGGGCAGGCTGCTGGGAATAAAGTGTTCTTTCCCAATGTTGCATAACATCTCACAATTGTTGCAATTGTCTTTTGTAATTGCAAGGTGCAGAGGGTAAAATTTAAAGTGCAAAGTCTCTTCTGTCTTTTCATTGACTAAAGAAAGTTACTGATTGGTTGTGTGCAGACAGGCGTTAGCACAGATGATGCACAGGTGCAGAGTGGTGCAGACTGTTCTCATCTTTTTTGTTACATGTGAACAAAATCATTTAAACTCGACACATTCTGGTGTGCTGAGAATGTAATTTGTTTCCAATTGTTTTCATAAAATTCTGTCACAGTAAATGCTAAGTCTTCCTTTTCAGTTTCTTGTTTTTTCTCAGCCTAGAAAGGAAACCGTCACACATATATCTGATATTTTAATGGCAGGCTGAACAGCATAAATCAAATTTGTCTATCAATCAGAACCAGGCTGTTGTCATGTGGGCTCCTTAGCCAGATGTTTGATGTCTTTCAAAGTGACCTCAGTCTGACTGGTGTACCACATTTCATCAAACCTGTGTGTCACTGCATTTGACAGACTCATCATTTTGACCCAAAGAAGGCAGGAAGTGGCCAGACTAATTGCAAACAAAGGCTCAAACAAGCATGGAGATGTGTTGACTGCCTGCGCTGTTTGATCTCTTTCCTTTCACTCACTTTAACACTCCACTGCCACAACAGTATTTACAAATATTAAAGCAGACGCACTAATGAGTTAGTCATAATTTTGTTGGCTCTGATTGCACAACAACTTCAGGGTGGACACACACATGCTGCAATGTGTAGCATCCTTATTTATTTCCACCAATGCAGCGAGCTTACGAAAATAAATATTGCGTGTTCATATTCTGTGCATGCGAGTCCCAGTAACGAGATGTCTGACTGGTGAGGCACTGACTACTCTGGACAGAAGACTTTTAATTATGATGCTTTTTGTACAATTATGTGCAATAATTAAATGTTTTCTTTGGCTAAACTTTCTTTCTTTTTACTAAAATTGAAAGTTGTGTATGATCTTACCTTTATTTGTATATCAAGTTCCCTTTACCTACAGATTCATGCAGCACATTATGTCTGACCAGACTAAATATGTCACACCTTGTGGAACATCAGCATGTATAATGCATGTGTAATCAAACATATATTGCGATATAAAGAGATACAGTAAAAGGTAGGTGCCAACCGTTTAATTCACTCTGTGACACGTCACCAGAGGTAAGACACAGCATACTGCCTCATGTACTACTCATAATACATAAGTTCATTATTACATTATATAAGTTCAGCCATTTTGACCATGAAAATGTTGAAATCACACAGGAAAGAAATTTGCACAACAATGAAGTGGACAAATTGATTTTCTCTTATTGTTAAGAGAACAATGTCTATACTGGAGTCTGATGAATATGTCAGTGGCCATCTTCGAGATCCTGGTGTGATGATGCTTCTTCAGGTACAAAAGCTCTGCAGGGAGGACTTCAGTTGGATTTATTTCAAATTGCAGCCTAAGTCAGAACAAACAAATCATGAGGAAATCTTAGTTAAATTGTAGAAAATGATCCAGACACAGTCGATTTTAAAGGATTACAAGCCAAAATACCATATTTGGTATTCCCCATCACCTTAGAGAGGTTGTTCCACATTCACACTTTCCATGTGTGGTCCTCTTCAACTCCAGGTGTCAACCATCTATTTATTGTGCAAGAATCTGTAGCTTTCCTTAGTTGATCAGTCCCAGGGCAAAATGTTTTGCTATATTCTTCAAGGACACCAAGAGTTATCTGTATGATGGGACACAGCCCCATAAACAAGTTGTTGCAAAGCCTGGGAAGATTCGGAACGGTCTCCGGGGACGGGCTCATGAAACTGAAAGCATTTTTCCAACCAATTTGGTTAATCACAGTTAATGATTCAACAACAAAGTTTGAGGCTTTTCACATTAACAAAAAGTTATTGTGTGATTTAATATGTATGATCAATATTCAAGTGTAACAAAAAAAGCAAAAGCAAAAGAAATCTGCAAGGAGGAAAACCCTTTTTCACAGCTCTGCAACTTCCAGCAGTTATTCATGGAGTTGTCAAATATTCACCCGGGCGCCGCTCTTTTGAGAAGTTTATATTTCACGCAAAGATCCATGAGTTTGAGCAACTCAGTTAATTTACTTCAGATGAATGACACCCACGAAAGCAACAGCAGCACCACTTGCTCCTCTGCACATGCAACTTTTGTGCATGACGGCCGTCTTGTGTTTGTGTGTCTGACCTGTGCAGGTGATGAGCCACGAAGCGGCGGCGCAGTCAGCCAGTTTGGTCTTTGTTTGTGTTCACAGAGAACATTACGACTTCCTGGAGACACTAGCACCTCAACTCAACGGGAAGGTACCTCACTGTGCAATCGCATAACGTTGTGCGTCATTCGCGTTGTTTATTTTCTGACTTCTGAACCGTTTTCCCGGTTTTTATTCGCCGCAAGGTGCTCGTGGACGTTAGCAACAACCTCGAGAAGAATATGTACCCAGAGGCCAACGCTGAGTATCTGCAGAGGTAAGTAGAGATTAGTTGGTGTCTTACGGATGCGGTTAGAGCCTTCTGTGGCCGGCAGAGCATGAAGCTAAAGTTTGTTATTCACTGCCCAGGTTAATCCCCGGGGCCCATGTGGTGAAAGCATTTAACACCTTGTCAGCCTGGGCTCTTCAGAACGGACCTTCAGATGCCAACAGACAGGTACTGGATCTGTTGTGACACTAACAAGTTTCTCTGTGGAAAAAAAAAAAAAAATAAATAAAAAATAGACTCAGTCTTTTTCTTCTCCTCCTCATCAAAAATGCAGTATTTCTCTTTTTCTGGTGTGATCTTTTATTTCAGTTTTAGGGGGCTTGTTTGTTTGACAGATTTCTCATTCCATCAGAGGAAAAACAAGGTTTTTTTTTTTTTTTTTTTCTAGTTCTCTGATGTGTTTGCACAGTGGGTGCTACTCAAGACGGGAAGAACTTCAGTCTAAATCATAATCACACACTTTGAAGCATTCATCAGACCACATTTAAGGAAAAGAATGTAAATTTAGGTAGTCAACCTAATGTCTTTGCTTCGAAAGCCACCTGTGACGTGTCTTTGAATCAGTGAACTCCATCATTTCTCAGATCTAAGCTCAACATCACATGTTTTGCTCTCTCTCTGTAGTGCAAAGCTGCAGCACATGTGTTTTTTTTTTCCTGCTTTGTTTTGATCTGTTTGTTAGGTCTCAGAGGATGGTAAAAAAAAACAACCCACAAGTGTGTGCATGTTTATGCATTGTGGCGCTCTGTATTTGGAGCACCATCAGCAACATCACAAGGTGTTAACCGAGCGCTGCTGCTTGATACCTGCTTTCCTCGCCTAAATTTAGTATTTCATGAAAGAAGCCACGCCGTCTTTGTTCACTTTCATATTCATTCCTCTAGAGTCAAACACATCCTTTCATCAATGTGTGTACACATGGAAAAGGTACATAAATATTGCATTAACATAGCTGAGCACCATGCTTCTCACACAGGAGATTTTTTTTTTTTTTGAGTTGTAAGAACCTTTTCTTGCTCCAGGTGTACCTGTGTGGAAACAATCCTGAGGCTAAGCAGGCAGTGGCAGTGATTTCCACCAAACTGGGCTTCACTGTTCAGGATAGAGGGTCTCTGTCTGCAGCCAGAGAGCTGGAGGACTTCCCCCTGCAGCTGTTCCCCGAGTGGAGGCTGCCCATGCGTCTCACCGTTGGCCTCACTGCCTTCTTCTTCTTCTATCTTCTCACCAGAGATGTCATCTATGCGTATGTTAACGAGGGCAAAGACATCTCCTTCAGAATCATGATGTCCCTGGCTAACAAGGTGAACAGAGATTATTTATTTATGTTTTTTTTTTTTTTTTTTACAAATAGTATGTTTTCTTTAAAACTACTGAGCCTGAACTAGAACGTTTTCATTTTTCTTCTTTTCCAGGTGTTTCCGAGCGTATCTCTCATCTTGCTGTCTCTCTGTTATCTGCCTGGGGTCATAGCTGGCTTCTTTCAGCTCTACAGAGGAACAAAATACAAGTAAGGAAAGGATGCTGAACAACATGCAAACTCTCTAAAGATATGCAGTAGAAAGCATGTTTAATAGGATACAAAATGTTTGTTTTTAGGCGTTTTCCTGACTGGTTGGATCGCTGGATGTTGTGCAGGAAACAACTAGGTCTGATAGCGCTGGCCCTTGCTTCCCTGCATGTGCTCTACACTCTGATCATACCTATAAGGTAGGTAATGATCCATACAAATATCCCTATTGGGAAAGTTCCTCTAATTGAAAAAACTTTTCATTGCTTTCTACTTCGAGAGGTATGACAATCTATATCTATATCTCTATGTCTAACCTAAATCTTTTAGGTGTTTCCATAGCAACTCCAAATATCAGCCACTTTTTTTATACAAAGCATCGTTAGTCAACTTTAGATCTCTTTTAATGTGTACTCAACTTAGAAGAAATTGTTAATAAACAATAAAAAGTATTATAACTCCATCTGGGTAATATTCAACAGACTGACATATTATTGTGACAAAAATCATTTATTCTTCTCACAATGTGTTCAGATAAATTGTATCCTTGAAAGATAGAAAGTGCCTTTTTTTCTAATTTGAAATGTTTTGTTCTAAATAATGTGTCTTTTGTTCCCAGGTATTATGTAAGATTCAGACTTGCAGGAAGTACCATCTCACAAGTAAAAGACTTATGGTTTTACCAGTGGAGTGTAAAGAAAATGGATGGATGGATTTTTAATTTTTTAATTTTTTTAATTTTGTTTCACTTTCAGATCAAGAATAACAAGACATCTCCATTTGACACAACCATGGCCTGGAGAACTGACTCGTACTACTCCATAGGGGCTCTGGGATTTGGCCTGTATCTCCTTTTGGGAATTTCCTCTCTCCCTTCTGTCAGCAACGCTCTCAGCTGGAGAGAGTTCAGCTTCATTCAGGTGAAAACTTCTATGTTTATCTTACTTATACTGCACAGGTTTTTCTCAATGGGATTCAGTGTCTTCGACCACAATCAAACGTGGACACTAGGTTTTACCTAAACTATGTGTGTATTAATATTTAGCTTGAGCAAATAATGAGCAAAGGGGGAATTACTTTTCACACAATGCCAGGTTGATTTGGATGACTTCTTTTCTTCAGTAAATAAAATCATCAAGTGAAAACTTAATTTTTGTATTAAGTTTTCACTTTTCATCTATTATTAAGATTAGTTTTAAAGATAGGAAATATTTCTGACAATTTTTTTTTTTTTCACGCAACAGTAACTTTGAATCATCTGTTTCACATTTGATATGGAAGCTTCGCTTTTTGGATAACATATAAGACACTATATATGAAAAGTACCAAACAATTACACACCTTAAACGACACAACTAAGAAGAAGTTGTACTAGAAACTAGTGCCAGATGCCCCCAGATCTTGGTTATTACATGTTTTGAGTGTGTTGCATTCATAAACTTTCCCTCTTGGTCTCAAATTATTTGAAGGCGAGTTGAATGTAATCCAAAGAACTTTTCATTCAGTGCAGAAATGCTAAAAAATATGCTTGCTTACTTTGTGCCCACCTGTAAGGAGATATTTCAAATTTTTAGTTCAGTTGTTCATCTGATATAGAAATTCAAAGACAGGATACTGATCCAAAAAAAAAAAAGGAATATGGATGCACATCCCAGAAAAAGAGCCTCGACTAACGTTCAAGCCGTGACTGATGAAGACGACTCTGTGCTTCAGCTCAGATGGAAAATGGTTTCTAACTTCCTGTTGGAGGAAATTCAGTGAATATTTTCCTTTCTCCTTTTCTAATTCTCCTGTTTGATGTTTATCTTTTTTCCTCCTGTTGACCAGTGAGAGTAAGCACAATCACACGGCAGGAAATGAACTCATTCATAAATGTATCTGGGTCAGATCAAGCTCATTTTCTCACTCCACCCTACTCCTTATCTCCAGTCCAAATTAGAGCGGCTCTAAATGTTAAGTTATTCATCAAATGTAATTTAGGAGCACACATTATGCTGAGCTACAGTCCTAAATTTTTCTTTGTGCAGATCGTACTTCATGTAAATCTCCAGGGACATTTCTGGGATTACCTCTATAAAACTCAGACATGTTGGTGCATATGTCTCAGCAAAGGTCACCTTGTTACTTTCGATTCCTTAACCCGGGACACTGAGAAGCTGTGGGGGAGTTCAAGAGAGTCAATGAGGCTGAAAACTTTAAAATATACAACATTTATAAAATTATTGATTAACACAGTCACAGCACCGTTAAAAGTAATACTCATTGCAATTCCTGTTGAAAACAATTGTATTTCTAATTGATCACAGTTTTTAGATACATTTAATTAGTAATGTCTGACTTCCTTCAACTCAGGTGAAATAAACGTTCATTTCTTTTAGCCCCTTCCTAGTAGGCTGGATGAGAAATCAAGTTTATCATCATCACCCAGTAAGCAGGATGGTAAGAGAGGAAGAAAAAAAAAAATCTAATGCTCACTGTCAAGATATCTGTAGAAGAGAGTGGGATGTCTTTTAGAAAACTAAAAATGCAAAAAAAAATTATAACATACAGTTAGATCAGCACAACAAATCTCACCACACACAAAGTCAACCTTTGCACATAGCTACTACATCTCCTTGAGTAAATCCACATTGACTAAACGTATTTAAATTAAATATTTGGTGTAATTTTTCCTAAATTCCTCAGTCTGAGTTTAAACAACTTGAATAAAAATAAAAAAAAACATTTAAGGTGGAATCCATTACATTACCAATAACTGTTGAGGGTCCAGTAGATCTGTACCAAGATGATGACCTTTCTTTGTTTTTCTGTTTTCCAGTCCAAGTTGGGATACCTGACATTGTTCTTCTGCACCTTTCACACCTACCTGTATGGTTGGGACAGATTTCTGTACGTCTCCCAGTACAAATGGTACACTCCTCCAGGCTACATGCTCTGCCTGGTGGTGCCCTCCCTGGTGCTGGTGTTCAAGCTGCTGCTTCTTCTACCTTGTGTGGATAAAAGCCTCAGCCGCATTCGGCAGGGCTGGGAGAGGACGGGTCCTGAGAAAGACAGCAAGAAGTCACTGTTAGCGTAGGACTGTCACAAACTGTCACAGACTCAGGCAGAAACATATTGTCTTCCGAGAGCACTCTAATTCAACCACTTCAGTTTTAATGCAGAACAAAATAGTGCACAACAGTAAAAGAGCCTGTGCTAAGTGTTACCATATTTACATTCACGGTTTGAACACCTTCACTTTGAGTTTTGTAAGTATTTTTTTAAATCAATTATTAAGGAATATTTTTATATAACCAATGCTATGGAAGCAAACAATAAAAAATAAAATAAAAAATAACACATGAAACCAGCATTTCATTGTTTGTGTATTAAATTGAATTTTAGAATTTTTCTTTTCAATTCTTGGTCATAGTTTTTTAACAGTATGTTGTTTTTTTTTGCTTGTTTTTGATTCTATTGCATACTGCCTTTTAATATCATCTTGTATATTGGAGGAGGTTCCTCTGAGAATCTTTGCTTCCTCAATAATATGAAGTGTACCCATTGAAAAAAGTTTATATATATATATATATATATATATATATATATATATATATATATATATATATATATATATGATACATTTTCAGTACTCTTGGACATCTACTAGATCTATTTTTTCAGAATCTTCACACCTTTTATTTTAGCAATAAATAATCCTATAAAATAGACATTTTTACTTAATAGCAGTAGACATAAACAAATAGGAATTATTGTAATGTAGCTAACTAAATTACAACAATCTGCAAACGCAATTAAACTCAAAATCCAGGTCAAACAGGTTATTTCTGAGCTTCCAGATTCTTGAAATATATAATTGTCTTCGCAGCTGTAGATACTTTAGCATCTTCTGCTTCCCCATAAAAAAAGATCAAGTGGCTATCATCACAAATCCAAGCTGATTTACAAAAATAAATGTTTTGTTACTAACAGCAAAAATAAGCTATTTACAATACAAATGTTATTGCTATTTCAGTATTATCAAAAATGGTCATAGCTACATGACTGCTGCCAGCCATTTTTGTACCTTGAGCACAAACGCTTTATGGTGCAGCGCTACCGAATGGGAACTGCACAAATACTCCATTTTCAGTGCATTTCTCTATATTTTCTGAAGGAAAATTAAGCCCTGCAAAGACGAGATTTTGAGTGGGGTTAAATGTAGGAAACAAAGTATAATTAATTAAATGTAACAATGGGGAGTGCAACACAGCACTAGAACTCATCATATAAACTGCTCTTAGAAGAAGAGTTACTGATTTTACAAGCTGTACTTGATTGATAAAAACGCCTTTACAGAGGCAACTCACCCGTATAGTCGTGATAAGTTTTCTTTTCCTGAGGAAGATTAATGACGAGGAGATTATTAAACCCAGAAAATCCTCAGAGTCTGCAGAACTTTTTCCACATTAAATAATAATTTTAGATTAACGGTGCTGGTTTGGAGTGAATATTTCTTGAAGCAAGACTGACGAAACAGTTGAACGTGGGATCGTTTCTCATGTCTTTGTTGCTTTTATGTTTAGAATTTTTCGTGTGTTTCATTTGTTCAAAGAAGTATATCATTGTTGTCGCAGTGAATAACTAGCACAAGATCCATACATTTTACAAAAGAGAGTAAACACAAGTAATTGGATAAAGAAAAAAAAAAACAGTTTTGCCGATATGATCCATCCTTGTGTCTCCAAGAATTACTGCAAAACCGACAGACTTTCATTCCACATATAAAAAAGCAACTTTTGAATCCATATGACTTCATTAAAGCAGTTATGTAATTCTAAGTATCAATAAAGAGATATTGGAAATAACCCATTTTTTGCCATTTTGATTCTAATATTTCTCTTGTACGTTTCTGAAATGAATTCAAATCAGCCGTTTTGGATTTGCATTGAAAGCAATGTGCAAAAAGTGCTGATGAGTACATTTACGTACAGCAGAAATCACTGAATCAGCAGTCAGAGGGCATCAGAGTGATTCTAGTGAAATGTGATGACTGTTGTTTGCTGAATTTGGCATTTATACTTCTGTATTTTTAGTCAACTGTAAGGTCTACTTGAAGTACCCTGTCTTCACCGGTGTTCACAAAGAAAATGATGTCTCAAAAATTAGAATATCATTATAAATCAATGAAAAAAGTTAAAAATTGTTTACAAATCTGTCTGTTCACAGAATGCTGTATACTAGTGTAACAAAATAAAAAAAAATAAGTGGATGAAAAACATAATTATTAAAAGGTGCGCAGGAAACAGGAATACCACCTCCACACAATGCTACAATGAATCAGTAATTCATATTATTCATAGTATTAGGTGTATATACTGAACAATACAGTCAGCAGGCTGAAATTTCTGAATTAAAATTTTGTTTTTACTGGATTAATGTGAAATTCATATTTTCCAAAAAGCTAATTTTTGGTGTTTCATTTGCTGCAAATCATAAAAATTAAAATAAAGTAGGACTAAAACTCAGAGTCTTTAAAATGACTTTCATGTTTTCAACTAAGTTACTGAAATAAAATTTTCAAGATCTACATTTATAAAATTACATTTCCACTGACATGTTTTCAGAATACAATCAATTTCTGCAATAATTGGTGCATATTACGAACTCTTAATGTGTTTGCTGGATGCTTACAGTTATGTGTTATGCTGACTGTGAATTTGTTAATACTTCATCTGTCACATAACTGGTTAAATAAAAACACAATCAGACCTGCTGTAAAGCAGAGATGTAAAAAGAGCTATTTCACAGAATGTTGTCCTATGAAAAGTTTAAGAAATTCAAAAACAATTTTTGCCCAATAAAAGAGAAATACAAAACCTTCACATGATTATTTTACAAGAGTAAGCTAAAGCACTTCCCCATTTCAAAAACTGCTGAGCAGGAACAAATAAAATAAGTTTTGTGTTGAGTCTAAAATAAAAATAAAAAGCAGAAATAAAATTAGTTATTTAGAAAGTATTAAAGCGAGAATTTGAGATAATAAATGGACAGAGGATAATGTAAATATCTTATCAAGAGATCATATGAGAAATAGCTTTCTGTGAGCTGAAACATTTAATTGTAATGACAACTAAGAATGTTTTATTAGTTTTTTTTGTCTAGTTATATGATTTTCAGTTGCAGTGATTCACATTTTATCACTAGAGTGATTTGAATGTCTTCAATGATAGAATAGTAATTAAATTTCACTAAGTCTTAACTTCATGTGCAAGTAAATACTGTGGATAAACAATTAAAGCCATAGTTTTCATACCATTTGTATAAAATTATATATAAATCAAGAAATGTATTAAATGTGTTTAATATTGTGAAGGGTGCAGCACAGGAGACTCTGAGTCTCAAAGAGTGTAAACACAGCAGTTTCCATTTCAGTCATGCACAAAGAAAAAAAAAACACTTTTAAACTAATTTAACCCTTCACTTATTAAAAATAAGATTATTTTTGAATTCATATAGCTGTTGAGTCTTTATTTTTTGAAATAACTGTGTTTCGTAGCAGAGAAGAGTTTTGGAGTATGAAAAGTTGGTTGATTTGAAGTAAAACGTGTATAGATATATATCACAAAATATTTAAAGATCTTGTGTAATTTGAATGTCTTTTGAAATATCTGGATGTTTCATAGCAGAGAAGAGAGTTTTGGAATATGAAACGCTGCTTGATTTAAAATAAAGTGTGTTGCTCTCTATTTTGTCAAGTAATTCTCCTCTTTTTTATTTTCTTTATATTGCAACTAAGAATCAAAGTTCCACTCAAACATACATCAGTCTTATGTTGCTTAATACATGCAGCTATGAATGATAACTATTTTATCGAGTTACGGGTTATTCAGGTTAACGACCCTCTAGATTTAGCTTATCAAGAGCAAAAAAAAAAAAAAAAAAAAACACCGTTAGCAGGTCTAAAAAAAAGAAAAAAAAAGAGAACCAGATCAAAGAAGTGTTCACAAATATGCCTGGATAGAGTCATGATATGACTGAGTATAAAAGGACAAACCTCTCAGAGCTGCATCAAAGTCTTCACACTGATTTTTAAGGTAAGAGCACTATTTTCAACTTTGGCAAGAAATGTAATGGCTAAACATTTTACAAAAGCTTCTGTTTCTTTACAGTTTATTTTCAATCTCCTTTAAGCTGAATTGAAAGTGTGGTTTTAGACCAGCTTGAATATATTTGGGATTTCTAAAGAGCAATGGGATCTTAACGTTTTCCACATATGTGTGTCTCTTTTGTTAGATGAGGCTGCTGCTCTTAGTGGGAATGCTGACAGCATGTGCTGCAGTAACCAAAGGTAAATTGACTTTTATCGTTCATAAAAAGTAAACTGTAAGAATTATAGCTGGCTTGTTTTAGATTTACTTTAAATTTTGAGCTTGTTTTGATTTTTTTTTTGTTATGAATATTTTTACAGCATTTGTACTAAATTTACCGTCTACCAAACCTGTCAAAAGTTATTTTTTAACATATCCTTTAGAAAGACGCAGCTTCTATTACTCTGTTATTTTTCTTCCAGATCTGTCTGGCAAGATGTTCACCTTTCCACTTGAAACCAACACAGCTCATGTGAAGCTGAGAACTACAAAACAGGATTTTAATGCAGTAACTGTTTGTCAAAGGTATTGTAGTCATACGAGTAAATTATTGTACCATGCAAAAAGTTTTAACCTCCCCTCTGCTAAATTCTTTTTAGCTCGCTTCCAAGCATCAAAAGTTCATTGACATCTTTCAGATGGTCTCAAGCTGTAGTTTTATCAGAATTTTGAAGATTTGTCACTGTTTTTCGATTGCCTTATCATGTACCTGGTCATGACCAGGTACATTTAAAAAATAAATGTTTAATAATTCAAAAACAGTGAAAAGTGGATGACAAACAAAAAGCTTTTGAATAAAAACAACAAAAAAAAATCTTTAGCAGATGACCAGTGTCCAAAAGATCTTTGTTTAAGAAATGTGAAAAGAAAAAAACAATCAAGCAGACATTTGATGATACTTCATCTGATCATCAAATGCATGCATGCATGGAAATCTTGTGAAGAAATCTTATGTCACGTGGTTTCAAAAGATTTCAAAAAGGAAAATCTAAATTAAAAATAGTGGAAGGCTTGATTCTTTTGCACAATTCTGTAAAGGAACCTTTATTTTTTTATTTATTTATTTTTATCTCTGTGAAGTATATCATATAACACGTTGCATTTGTTTTCCCCTCAGATACTTTACAGACCTCCAAAGATCCCACGTCCTATTTTCTTTGGCTGTACCCAGTTTTTCCAATGGCTTTATGATTCTCTGGGATGGCACTGACAAAGAATTGGAGATCTATACCCAGGATAAACTTGCAGTATTTGGAAAAACTGACTACAAGCTAAACACATGGCACTCCGTCTGCGCCACCTGGGACTCCGCGTCTGGGCTGGCGCAGCTGTGGTTGGATGGACAACCATCAGTTAGAAAATTTACCAGTTCTGGATCAAACATCAGAGGATCTCACATAATTATGTTAGGGCAGGTAAATTGTCAGTCATCCTCCATATTCCACAATTCTTATTAAATTCTTATTAATATTAAACTTTACAAATATATTTCAAAATAGTTTATTTTTTATTATTACTTTTAAATAAAATTGTCTTTCCCACAGGACCAGGACAGTCATGGCGGCGGGTTTGACATCAAGCAGTCTTTTGTTGGGATGTTGTCTGATGTCCACATGTGGGATTACGTCCTCTCTGCCTGTCAGATCCAGAAATACGTGGATGAACAGAACTTCACTCCGGGAAACGTCCTGAACTGGGCGGCTCTGGATTATCAGATAGTAGAAAAAGTGATGGTGGAGAATAAAGTAATGGTTTGTATTTGAACTGTTAAATTAATACCATCACCAAGAAAAAGTCTCAATCATAAAAGAATCCCTGATATTAAATCATTTCTCGTTTTACATATTTTTTCATTTTTTTTGTTGCTTCTTTTGAGACGTGCTTTTCATGGGAAAAAGAATAACACACTCCCCACCCACTCACATTCTCCTGTGAGCCCAAGCACTGGTATATAATGAGTACGACACACTGTCTTCCTGTCACGCAACCAGTCTAACAGAATGCTTTTATGTGAGGGAGAGGTAAATTGTAGCTATCTGTTCTTATAAAAGCTTTGTTTTGTCTATTAATAAATGAGAAAAGCCTGTGTGTTGAATAGATTGGTGTCTGGTGCTTTCTACCAAAATTCACTAAGGAAATCCTTTCTCTTCAGTTTACATGTAATATCCTTCTGCTGTGGCCTTAAAAGTTTTGTGATTAATTTCAATAGTTATCACCTTATCACCCATACACTAAACAAGGAGTCCAAGATTATTTTATCTGATTATTTCATCCAATAATTTCATTTGTCCTCGATAGACACTGAAATGGCCAGCATCTAATCTTAACGTGAATCTGATGCTCCACCAAACGAGAAGCATTTTCTCTACTTTTCATTTACTGCAGGACAGTAGGAAGCTTCATAATGTTTAATCTTTGCTAAAGGATTTTAGATGGTAGAAATGTGAATCAGCTGTGTGACATTGGTCTCAGTGAAACGTCATTATGTCCACAAGCTCTGATATTCTTTCACAAAAGCTCAAAGGGATTTAAGAAACACCCCAGTTGTTGCCACCTCAAAGAGGCAGTGATGCAGTAGATGCATAAGTTTTACTTCAACAGATACTTTGTAAAATTGTGTGATGTAATAATCTAGACTTTTAGCCATTCTCTAAACTGGCACAAATACAAACTAAAATGAAAGCAAATGCAACATAGGGGGAGAAACATATTAAAGAGCTAAGTACAAGTAAGTTCCACTGATACATATAATATCACTTCTTAAGACAGCTAAAAGCAATAAGTTAATTATGTTGAAGGTGAGCAGAGCACTAATGATCCATGTGCTAATGACTTGATAAGGTCAAAAAAAAAAGACTAATTTGCATGCCAAATTCTTTTCTTTCTACATTCAGGAGGAATTTGTCTGTGCAGATTTTGCCAACAAAAACAAACAAACAAACAAAAAAACATCAATGCAGTAACGTGATTAATTACTAACAAGAAGTTTTCTCCTGCAAACTTTTCCTGCCAGGAAAAGCTTTTCAGTAGAAAGCCCTGAAGGGATATACACACTTAAAACTTGTGTAGCATGTGTACAAAAGGGAAGCACCAAAAGTACAAAAACACAGAACCTACTGTTAACATCTGTGCTGTGGGATTTTAAAAAAATGAATATGTCTTTTTTACCACATTTTAGACATTTCCTGGATGTGCAAGAACTATTTCGACATCAACATAAGCAGCCCATAGTTTGTGTGTCAAAGAGGTTAAGATTCCTGTGTGTCACAAAAAAGGAAGAACTGGTTTAAGGAAGTTCACACTGAAAACGTTGTTGAAATAGGGAGGATGTGAGTAGAAACATTGACTTTTTCCATTGGTGCCAACAAAGTCACTGCACAGGTTTTAAGGTAAGAGCATGAATTCAAATTTAGCAGAAAATTAATCATTGTCCATATTTACTATTTCCTCTTGTGTTGTTTATTGAAAAAATTCAAGGGACACTTTAACTTTCAGATTTGTGTGATGAAAACCTGTCAGTAATGTTAATTTTATTCTTTAATCAGATGAAGGTGCTCCTTCTGCTTCTGATGATTACAGCTTGTGCTGCCCTAACACAAGGTATTTCTTATATATAGTATATATATATATATATATATATATATATATATATATATATAACTACTTGAAATGATTATCTTAACTATTAAGTGTGTAATTTTTTGTAATCTTGATTTCCTTTTGTAATGAACTAAAGAAGCTACAGATTTTACAGAAAGGTCAAGCATAACATACAATAACTATAACAAAATGGGAATTTTACTTGTTATTTTGTATTTCCTGGCAAGAGAAAACATCAGTGCTGTTTTAATCTGTCATTTAAGGTAATTCTAAGGAAAAAAGGAAACCAGCAAAAAAAAAAAAAAAAAAAAATAATAATAATAATAATAATAATAATAACTGAATGACTTTAGTCATTTGTAAACTGCTTTTGCCTTTGAATTATGCATAATGTATATGGCTTGCTATTAAAACATGCTTTACATTTTGAATATGTTGGTCACCTGAAAGATATTACGAATTTCTCTTCCTATTTCCCATTACTTTCAAAAGATAAGACTATATTTGACATGTGCAAATCAGGTATTCAAAGGTATTTATAAATAAAACAAGGAAATATGAATACATTTTATGTTTTCAGATCTTTCTGGTAAGATGTTCACCTTTCCACTGGAAACCAACAGAGCTTATGTGAAGTTTAACACATCAAGAAGAGATTTTGATGCCATAACTGTTTGCCACAGGTACTGCGGTTTTAAATATGAATTACGTAGAACATTCTTCATCCTTGTGAGTGAGACACATTATGCAACGCTTTATGTCTGTCATTGTAACAGATCATTTACAGACCTCAAGAGAGACCACGGGCTGTTCTCCTTGTCCACACCCAATAATGCCAATGACTTTTTGATTTTCTGGGATAACAACAATAAAGAAATGGAGGCACACATTAAGAATAAAAAGGTTGAGTACGGAGGCCGTGACTACAAGCCCAACACGTGGCACTCTATCTGCACCACATGGGACGGGACGACTGGACTGACACAGCTGTGGTTCAATGGACAGCCTTCGATCAGAAAATTCACAATTTCTGGGTCAAACATTGGTGGACCTGTCAATATTATTGTGGGACAGGTAAAATTTCCTTTATTCACTGAAGAATGGAACAAACATCTCAAACATCTGTCATTTTTAGCCTCTGTGCTATCTATGAATCATTTTATCCAATTTTCTTACAGGTTGATAAACATAAAAACAAGCTTGAAACAAAATGGAACTAAAGTTGGGTAAATTTAGGTTAAACTGGGTAGACTTGGGTAAAATTATAAAATATAAGCAGATCATTTATAATTTGTCACTGTGTCTTTCTGTGTTGAGAAGATCTCCATATGACATCAAAAATACCCATCCTGTCATTTTCACAGTGAAATGCTTTAGATCAGTACCTCTGTGATAATTGGTGGTTTTGACCTTAAAACTCTTCCATAGAGGCCATTTTTGCCCAATCTCTTTACTATTATTGAATTATGAATACTAACCTTAACTGGAGCAAATCATGCCTGCAGGATGTTAGATGCTGTTCTTAGTTACTGTATGACCTCATAAGTGAATTGGAGAAGAGTAGGGAGACTGGCCAATTCTGGCAAGAATCACGACATCCCCATGTTTTCTCTGTTTGTGGACAACAATTCTCACTGTAGTTCGAGTTTGTTCAAAATAGCTGTACGTTGATATTGGCTTCCCAGAATCACAAATATCAATGGCACTTCTTGCAGTGCCTATGATTCTTTAAATAACGGGGCCAAAATGATCAAAACTCAGACAAATACCTCCATCTTGTCAGACAGGTTCTGTCCAAGTGGTTTCTTGACTGTACAGGTAAGCACACCTAGGGTTTGCAAATGAAATTATGTGAATCACAGAAAATCTAGCATTTTAACAAGGATGTAGAGGATTGTTTTAATCCAAAATATCATATACAAATGATACAGTTGTCTTAACATTGACTACTGTGATATAAACAATGTTAAAAATTTAAACTAGCAGTAGCTTAACCCAAAATCAGTAAAAACCTCTGCATAAAGCAATGTAAACCTAGCCTTTATTCAATAAGTAATAAAACTAAATAAGCAGCATTTTACTTTTGTCATTATGCTTCTTAGGTGTTCGAGGTTCTGGCTAAATACTACAACTACTGGATGTATTGAGTGTTGAGCATATTGCATATTTATGTAGGAGTAAATATGACCTCCTTAAAAGTTCTAGCTTAACAATTATGTTTTTTCCCCCATAAATCTGCAGCATAACATTTCATATTAAAGACATCTAAGCAGAACATGTGTTTAGTATGAAAAGTCATGAGCTATCGCAAAAAAGACTCATCTTCACAGATCAGTTGGAAATGCGTGGGTCATAACTTTGATGACATAACATTTGATTCAAATCATTAATGTTTTTTTCCCCCTATTTTTCAATAAAAAAAAGAAAAAAAAAAAACATTAACACTCTGCATTTCCAACAGGAGCAGGACAGCCATGGCGGCGGCTTTGACTTGAAGCAGTCTTTCGTTGGCATGATGTCTGACGTCCACATGTGGCATTACGTCCTCTCTGCCTGTGAGATCCAGAATTATGTGGATGAACGAAACTTCACACCAGGGAATGTGTTGAACTGGAGGGCTCTGGATTATCAGATTATAGACAAAGTGTTGCTTGAAAATAAAGTAACCGTTTGTTACTAACCCCATTTAGAATAATTTGATCACTACAGCAACTCATACATTTCCAGTAACCATTATTGAATCATTATTTTTTAATTATTTGCTTAACTATAGATTTGTGATAACTGTGAATTGAATTGGACGGTGCTCTTTTTTTTTGTTGCTTTTTTTAATTACAAAGTATCATTTAAAGCACTTAAAAAACATTTGTGTGAAAAAACATTTGCATGGGAAATGCACCAAAGTTACTTAGGAAAACTGTAAAATCTTGTAAACCTGCAGTAAATTAGGCTTGACCATTTTACAGATAGTTCATCAATTTTTTTTTAAACATTTCAGCCTTTATTGTTGTTTAGTATTCACAAAAGTCTTTTATAGTCCTAAGTTCACCCACAAGTTATCCTTTTTATTCTCCTTTTATAATACAACTGTGTCTGAAATTGGCAGGACAACTATATGTTTGTTTAAGCTGTTACACTTTAGAAAAAGATAAATGCTGTACAATGTGAATTATTTTCATTGTAGCTAAAATAAAGCTTTAATCTAGTACACACAGTTCTAGATATGTTTGTACCTAGAACACAAACATATAGAAATTACAACCTTAATGTG